GTTATTATCTGAAGTCAAGCAATGTGATAAACAATGATGATATCTCACCATTACATTGCCACCATGTAAATATTTCTTTCTCTTGTGTACATTAAGTTAGTACAAAAACGTCAATGGCTTTGCAAAGTAACCAGAAATGTTTGGTTGCTACCAAAAGTATAACATGAGGGGTATAAATCAGGTCGAACTATAGTAAATGTCCGCTACTGCAATTTAGGCGCACGCAGCGTCAGTCATGTGCAGGCCCATGGACCCGATGTTAAGTGTTCCTGAAAATATAGTGAAAATGATCATGATCATTTCCACTATATTTTTTTTACAAATATAGGCCTAAGCAACCATGATGACAGCCCTAGTTCACTATTTTTATGAGACGGAGCAACATAGTCATATTGTGTATATTTTATAACACTTCCAGGATGTACTTCTTTTATACAGTATATCCTTAATATTTTGTAATAAATGAGAACATTTCTGCCCTGTATTTGCATTTTTTTAAATGTCTTTTGATACAGTATACACCAAATAAATAAAATATATAAAAATAAGTAGGCCGCTTGAATAAACTGGAGGGCTGCACTGCAAAAATCCATTTAAGATACAATTAGAATTGTGTTAATTTTAAAGCTCCATGCATCAACTTCTATTCATTCAGGAGAACACTCAAACAAAAAGCAAATGATTAACGAAAGGTGGTAAACAATAAAACAATACAAGAGGCATCAGGGAGGGGGTGATGGGCGAACCCGTATAGGACTATAGTTGTCAAGAAAGCTATAACCTTTGTTAATTTAAGGCCCAAGTTAGCAAGTTATACCAACTCCCTGACAGAGCACAGTAAGTTGTTAGCCTTTAAATTTCCATAGGCCTCTTATTTCGCAATTCAAGAGGACATTTTATTTGGATCATAAATGTGTGAAAACCGACATGTATTCGAATACCGTAAAATAAGCCCACGCATTGTTATGTCGCACGTAAATAATTGATACTGTACACAGGAATGTAAGTTATACAGGTAGTACCTTTATCCGCCACCACTGGCAGTGAGAGAAAACCCAGCTGTGTGCTTATTAAATATAAGTTAAGGTCACGATCATTGGTAATAAAGTGGGAAGAAGTGCCGACAGGAAGGGCATACAAAAAATTACATAGCATCACGTCCACAATAATCATGCTTCGAAGAAATATCATTGTCATTTAAAAAAAATCATGCAAACCTTACAAACAATAATTTGTTTTAAATGTACGAGCAGTCCTGAATAGTTTTCGATAGATACCAGCCCTATTCGTATATCTTTCAAGTGTAACTCGGAGAGTAAATGAACACCACAGGTATGAAAGATCTGTTTCTTTCTTCCATAGTTTTACTAGGACAGATCTATAGCAAGATGAAGCAACAGGCTGTTGCATAATGAAGATATATCACGCTGTTCGCGAAACAACTTTAGTAATTGTCTTAGGATGCTCTTTCTGACATTTTTTTACTCTGTAAAAAGTGAAAATGTAGGCCTGCCATTCGTGTAGGAAGACGAGTGCCGCTGTTTCAAAAGCGTCCTCCAAATATTTGAATATGAATTAGAAACCATTGTATGCCATAAGAACAATACGTAGACAATAAGAACTAAAGATTAGTTAATTTCTTTATTAAATAATAAAAAAAAAGTCGAACCTCCTACAGAATTCAACGCGCTATGACGCCGGTGCAATAATATCCAGCGGCCTGGATTGCTATCGCAAGTCCATTTTGAGAAATATGAGACTAACGGAAGAAACAACAAAGAATATAGATCGAGATAGCCATATAATAACCGACTTCTGGTCGACCTTCTATGGTCTTATATAACATTACCTGACCCAAAATAGGCCTAGCTGGTGTTACACCTAGATCAAGATAATACTTGGAACAGCCCTGATTTATAATTAGCAAGAGGAACAAAATGTTAGCAGCTGATCTTTAACTTACCAGGAATGCTAAACAAAGAAGAAGAAAAGATGCGGATAACAGAAACAATCGCAGCATATTTTCCATTCAACTAATCTTGAATCTATTAATCTATGACACGGCTAGCTGTCATCGATTTGCGTCTTCTGCACTTCCAACAGGTTCCTTTTGGAAGGTTTTTCCAATAACCTTGTAATAATACGATTACACTCCAAAATGAAATGGTATTGGACATAATCCAATCACAGACAGGAACTGTTATGACGTCATGTCAAAGATTGTTCATACAAAGATAAGACGACCTTCTGTACCACGCGGAATTTTGTTTATATAGGCCTATACTGCACCGGTAATAATCTCTGTAGGCAGTGATCCTCTTCCTTTTTAAGGAAGAGCCTTGTTATCGGAAGTGGGTCAGGCAGTACCAGTGCACCTGTCTCTTATACACATCTACAATGTTAAGTGTTATGTATATCTAATCTTGTCTAATTATTATTTTATTATTTATCATTTTCTAATCATTTAACTATGGTTTAATTGTATAGGAATTAAAATTATAAAAATCAGTATACTTTCGCACTACTACGCTAAACATACAATATTGTTGAATAAGACAGAGATCTTTGGTCAAGGAAAACAAAAACATTATCTTGGAGAATGATAATATAGTGTGACAACTGATTGACAAAAATGAACCATTCCGAAGTGTCAATCAAACTGGTCCAGGAACAGGGTCACGAGTAGTCCTACGCGTAAGTCCCACAAACACACACGTTCACACTGTCGTTTGTGCGACCTAGAAATAATATGATGCTGGACTTAGTGGGATGGTCTATATTTCAATGTAGGCCTAGTCAAATATTATTCACGTTTCTCTAATCCCATAACTTACCGCTACGTTTGGCTGCATCGACGGACTGAAACATAAAGAAAAACGCATAATTAATTTAAAAAAAAAAAAAGAAAAGGCATATGTAATAATCAAAATAAATTTGCAGACATGAGTGATGTTAAAATGTTAAACAATTAATATTTATATATAGGCCTAGGCCTGTTGAAACAAAAAATTATGACAACAAGGCATGTAGACTGTAGAACACTTCATTTATTTTCGAAAGAAATTTTCGGCCAGTCCTCTGGCATTCATCAGCTTTACTGAATGAACAAGATTGGCTGTTACAAGTTGTATTGTATACTATACAATGTAACCAATACTATTGTGATGTTGATGGATATGTCAATTATCTAATAGTTTATGCTGTAATATACAATAGTGGAATTGCACTGAGATCAAAGCGGTCAAGTATTGAGAAAGTAGTGTTGAAGATTAAACAGTCCTTAATTAAGCGTACATAGCAGAATAACATGGTGAAGCGGACTTAAGTAAGTGAATAAATATTGAAGATGTGTATAAGAGACAGCCTCCGGCCTACTGGCATCCATTTTGATAATATGCAGACTGTTTAAATT